GCACGGAGGTGTAGTGGGGACACAACCTTGGGGGCACGGAGGTGTAGTGGGGACACAACCTTGGGGACGTGGAAGTGGGGGCAGAACCTTGGGGACAGGGCAGCAGATGAACCCGAGGTCAGATGTGGGTCTGAGCCCGCAGGGGGTTGGCACGTGACAACAGTGCCAGGAGTCCCAACTCCTTGTGTTTATTTTGTTTATTTGCCTTAGATTAACAAAATGCAGGCTCCCGTGGCACTTCTCAGCTCCCCGGCACTGGTGAGTCGCCTTTCCTTGCAGTGGGATGATAATTCTCAGTGGGGATACAGGATGGGCAAGGATTTCTCCAAAGTGCTGCCCTGGACACCCTCAGCTGAGGTGGGATCATGTGGGTCTGTTCTGGATTTAAGGAGGAAGGGGAACAAGGTGACCTCTGGTGACACCATGTAAATAGATGGGAGTGAGCTGCCAGGGCCTTCTCCCAAGATAAACTAAACTGATTTCCACAGAGATACTCGATCACCCCTCTCCTTAAAGGGGTGAATTAGAAAGGAAAGGTGTGGAAATGTGACAGTAATTAAATTGCTGTGGCAGATGTGACGCTGTGCTGCAGCCTGTGGTGTGTGGAATCGCTTAATCCAACTGGCTGAAATGGGAATATCATATGCCTTTATTTTTTGGTCTTGTGTCACAGTTGATGTTTTCAGAAAACTTTCATACTTTTCTTCATAAAGTGTTCTTCTGAGGGTTAGTGCAGATACATCAAATTATGGGAGCAGTGATCTCTGCTCTCTGTGACCCGTGACAGGAGCCAGGGAACGGCTGGAGCTGTGTCAGGGAGGTCTGGACTGGATTTTGGGAAAGGTTCTTCCCCCAGAGAGTGGTTGGCCCTGACCAGGCCCCCCAGGGCAGTGGGCACAGCCCCAAGGCTGCCAGAGCTCAGGGAGCATTTGGACAACCCTGAGGGACAGGGTGGGATTGTTGGGGTGTGCAGGGCCAGGAGTTGGGCTGGATGATCCTGGTGTGGATCAGGAGATCCCAGAATTCTGACTGTTCCCTGTCTGTGTTTGCTGCAGTTCCGATGCTGCTCCAGGGCTCTGGCCAGGCCCGTTTCAGTGTCTGTTTTCAGCAGGCCTGAGGCTCAGACTGCACAGGTGAGACTCGAGTGGGAAACCTCCTCTGGATGTCTTTGCTCTCCCTGATGATTTCTCCTGATCATCCAGGGGATGGCAGACACGGGGACGTGGCTTCGCTCCCAGCCCTCCCCTGCAAACCCCGAGCTCGTCTCACTCCCGATTCCTCGCCCTGTCCC